TTCCACTTGTTTTTTTAACAACACAACCGCGCCAGTGTTAGTGGTGCTGATAAGAGCAGACACCACTAACACCTGGGGAGAGGCTCCATCTATTGGTGGGGAGCATCACCTGCTGGGAAATGGGCCCAGCGTCCCATATACAGATTGAATTTGCAGCATGTCAGAACAAGAACCATTGTGGGAGAGTCCTGCCAGCATTGATTACCCTGGCATCCAGGGGATTGACTGAGCAGGAGGTAGGGGAGGGGGGGAACCTCTACACCTTGGAACCGGCGCCAGATACTTACTGTAACTCACTAGTTCCTCCCTCCCCGCACCCAGTCTGAGCTGTCACTTCCCGAGTCGTCGTCTTGCACCCAGCCCACCCGCTGGAAACCGGGTCCAGCGTCCCATTTATACATCATGTAGCACTCAGGTTTAGGCAAAGGCAAGTGGGCAAGTGGTGGAGTCCAACTTCGATGAGTCAGCGGTACCCAGTCCCAGTCTTACTTCGTACAGTCAGCAAGTACCATGAGGAACTGTGTGCACCAAGGGCCCGCGGGAAAAGGGCCAGACCAACGACTTTCAGAAGTATAAATCAAGAGGCAGCGTGCAGCCATTTATTCATTCGCTGTGTAAGCCATGCGGAAGCGCTGCCCCAGCGTCTTGTGCAAAGGTGGTCTGGAGGTTGCCCGAAGTCGAAGTGGGCTGAGAGAAGAAAGTGTAGCCATAGCTAGTAGCTGTTGCGCGGCCGTGGCCGCTGTAGTGTTAGGTGTTAGTGAGGGTGTATAAGTAAGTGACAGAGTGAATGTGTGTGGGTGTATTCAGGGTGATCCAGAGTTGAGTATGGGCGAACAGTGGTGTTGGACACAGTGACGCGAGTTGGTGTAGGCGCTGACGCGCCATAGCTTGTTGGAGCGAGTTTTGCATCTGAACTGTGTCCTCGATTGTCATATCTCTGAGCTTTTGAGTGGGCGCTGTGCGCCAGTGTGAATCACCGTCTGTTTGCCTGTATGCGGAGTGAAAAAGAAAGCAAGTCTGATTGCATGTCTTTGAATGCAAATCTTTTTTTCTGTCTTCGATGCAAAACTTACCTGAATTTCCTGTTCCTTCTCCAAAACATCAGATTCTGGCTTTGGTTCTGACGCCGGCAGAGCCTTGACTGCATCCGCAAGTCGGGTACATTTATCCGTCAATCTCAGCAACTCCTTGTCCTTCTTCTTTATGAGCTCATCCTGTTGTCTGGAGAGCATCAAGGGGAAGCAAGGGGAAGCAAGGGGAAGAAAGGGGAAGAGTTGCCACAGCCACCTGATCAGCAATTACAAATAAATTTATAGAAATTGGATGGTTTTGACAAAAAGAAAGGCAAATAAGATTTAATTATTTTAATAATTAAAAAATAAAACCGAAAATATAATTTTTTGCAATTATTTCAGGGATTCACAGTGCTTCTCACAACATCACAGATGCTCCTGGCAATATCACGGATTCACACTTCTCAAAAGAAAAGAAGAAATCAATCAAGGGATGCACACTTCATCACACAGCTTCTCACACAAGATGCAAACCAAAAATAATCATATAACTTTGGAAATTGCCAACAATTCAAAGTCCCGCAAAAAAAAAAAAACGTTTCTCGTGTATACACTCTTGGGCGGCGATGGCCACCCCTTCTCTCTCTCTCTCTCTCTCTCTCTCTCTCTCTCTCTCTCTCTCTCTCTCTCTCTCTCTCTGTGACAGGGATAAGTGGTGAGGGGTAAGAGGAGAGAGATAAGTAGTGGAGGCCTGAAGGAGGGAGATAAGTAGTCAGCAATGAGAGGAGAGAGAATCAAAGAGTTCGTATGTGTGCGTGTGTGTGTGTGTGTGTGTGTGTGTGTGTGTGTGTGTGTGTGTGTGTGTGTGAGGGGAGGGGGCAGCATAGGAAGAGGGGTGACCTCGCCAGATCTTTTTTTTTTTTTTTTTGAGCTCGCCAGATCAAGAAGCATCTCTCACTTTTTAACAACGTTTTATTTGTTTCAAAACGTTCAGCGTTTTCACCTCAGGATGCTCTTTTGGCCTTTTTTTTTCTTTTTCTCTTTTTTTTGTGCAAAGTGGATGTCGATAATCTGCTCATGTCAAGACTTGCATCTTGAAAAGTCTGAAGGTGCCCTACTTTAGGCAATGGGGGGGAGCGGTGGTTTAAGACCCAAAGTGCTGACAACACCACTGACCATAGTTTTGCTGTCTCTTTCTTTCTTCTTTTTTTTCTTTTTTTTCTTTTTCAGAAAGGCAAAGCCCCATCTGTTCTGTGGGGCATCAGTCCGCTTGCTCATCACCCACAAGCCAAAAGTACATGAGAAGCAGTTGGAAAGGAGAAGAACGAGGTAGATCAGACGAGAATCAGAAACAGCTGCACCCTTGCAGCTCTAGTCGCTCACAGAAGGGGGGGTTGCTTCAGTTTTGCTGCTCTCTCTTTCTTTCTTCTCTTTTTTTGGGGGGGGATTTCTTTCTTGTTCGATTTCTTGGCATTTGCTCTTTCGATTTTGTATTCGCGCTCTTTCTCAGACAAGAGATTTTCTGTCCTTTGGGGCATACCTGAGTTGCTGACGTAGCTTTCGGGAAATGTCCTTCGCTGCGCGCGCTTCTGCTAATGTATACCTCAGCTGTTCTGCTATATCGCCTTCTGCCTCTTTCTTCAGAGCCTTCTCTTGCTCCCTCTGCCACCCCACAAATCCAAATCCCAGTCATTATTCAACAGAATCAACACCAATGGTGTCATTCTTTAATTTAATCTTGTTGTAAAAAAATGAAAAGGAATAAATGACATTAAAATTTAGGATTAAGCAAAAATGCTACGATCAGGCAATGAGATTCAGGACTCACGAGTTTGCAGAATATAAAACCACTGGTAGATTTTGCGCTCGCGCCTCCGGTTAGCGCTGTAGCTGCGCTAAGTGTCGTTTTCGCGCCCGCGGCCCTTCGCGGCCGCGCGGGCGATTTCGAACTGTTTGTCGGACTCGAAAGTGTCGAAGCCGCCCCCGACAACGATGACGAACGTCCCAGCTGAGGCGCCATAGCCCCGCGATAGCCCGGTGAAGCCCGCTCGCGCGCGCCCAGCGCGCGTGCTCTTTGGCCTTTACGACAAGGGCAAGAGGACGCGTCGAGCATAGAGACTTGGCGGGAACGTACCTAGACGACAACTAGACCCAAGTGCACTCTCCAACGTGGGGGATATCTACGACGACCTATGTGGACAACAACGGTGACTACATCATCACGAGTGGCGTAAGATAAAGACTCCAAGCGGTCTAACCCATCTATCCAAGCCATTACACCCAACTCACTCCCACTAATACCCCGTTAGTAACTAACGCCCGGCCTCCAAACTTCCCCGCCCAGCCTCGCCAGTCCCCCACTGATTCCCCTGCCTCCCCCTGACTCTCCATTCCCTGACCGATAACCACATCTTTACGTCTTTTCCTACCTACCAACCTACCGCTATCCTCGCCCAATCCTACTAGGCTTTCCTCTCTGCCAGTCTAGCAGCCCCC